GATTGGGTTGCATGGGTGGCAAGGCGAGGGTGAACGGAAAAGGATGTGCTTCCGCTGCTGCGCGGAGAAGTCCACAGATCCGAGTTGCGTTTTCCCGTTTACGGATGCTAGCACAAACGCCAAGTGGCGATCCACAATGCTGTCGCATCAACAGTTCGTTCAAGATGCACTTTTGTCTGGCCGCTACATTTCTGGAATTTGGAGCATTCCTGGACTGCAGTTGTCGAGTATTGTTCTGGATTTGATGCATGTTGGGGACCTCGGCATCGTATTATATTTGGTCGCCAACGTGTTACTCGAACTTTTTATCAAGCTAGGTGGTCTGATGACAAGACCCGCCGATTGCCTTTCGGAGCTCACGGTTCTAATCAAACATGCGAGTCGCCAGCTGAAGTATGACAAGTTTCCTTTAAACACGTTGACGCTCGGGATGCTGAAGCCAGACAAAAGCCGATATCCAAAGCTGCGGATGAAGGCCGCGAATGCTCGTTTAATGGTTGGCGTCGTTCATTTCCTATTGAAAGAAATCTTCTAACCTGCCAGCGAATACGAGCAGCTCAGGCTTTTTTGTGTGGAGGCGCTGTACGATTTCTATGATGAAATCAAGCACCCATCGGACACTATACGGACTAAATTGGGCACCCTTGCGCGACAGCATGTTCAATTGTATGGGCAACTGTCCCTGCATACTGACAGGCACACTAGGTTTTGGGAAGCATATCGTATGTACCCAAAACATCATCTATTCGTCCATTTAGGGGAAGATGATTTTTTCACACACGGAAATCCTAGAACTAGCTGGAATTATCTGGATGAGGACGCCATTGGCACTTGTGTAGATTCTGTGGGAGATTCCCACCAGCATTGCAAGTTTGTGCATCGCTCTGCAATCGAGAAGTACAGGTTGTGATGGCCCGTAACAAAAATCGATCGACGCTTCGCGTGAAACATCCTCTGAATACCGCTTTTTGGTGGCCGTGGCCGCTGCACTCGTGGGCCCACTTGGGCCAAACAAGGTTCAAAGGGCCCATGTGGTTTTTCTGTGAGGAGGGAGGAGGGAGGAGGAGGAGGGGGAGGAGGAGGGAGGAGGGAGGAGGAGGAGGAGGAGGGAGGGAGGGAGGGAGGAGGAGGGGATAATGAGGCCACCGTGAAACAACGAGTTATATTATACCGATAACGCGTCCTACGGATAGTACCAACAAGAAACCCTCTTATTTTTTAAGAAGGTTTTCCATGTGCGGCAAAATCCTCTTATATTTTTGGAAGGTTTTGTCACATCGAAAAACCCTCCTATTTATTTAGGGGGTCACCAAAATTTTTGGTGGATCCTCTTATATTTAAGAGGGTCGGAGGGGCTGGGCAAGTATATCGCGAGAGTGGAGTACATCTAGGACCTCTGTCTTGGACTTCCTGCCTCAGCATTGTTGTACAATTCCTTGGCACTCAGCGTGCTCAGCTTCGTATTGCAGCTGGTCGCTCCTACTAGCGATCTGCTCGCCACAAAGCGTGACATGCTGCGCAGACTGGCCCGTGGACCCGGGAAGTGGTTGTCCAAGCATGGCGAGCACAACCTTGACGCCTTCGGACTCCCGGCCCCCTTCCGTTCTATCAGCGCCTTGCTTTTCGCAGCCGCGGCGAGGACGATGACGGATACGCGTCCTCGATGGCGGGAGCTCCGCGTGAAGTTGCAGGAGACAATCCAATGCAACGAGGCCCTTTTTCAGTGGCGATGGCATTCGTGGCTGATTTCCTTGTCTGTGGTCACGTTGAGTTCCGCCCGGGGCACATTGAGAGACAGGCGCATCATTGCACAGGGAGGCCAGGCCGCTGTATATTTCCAGGTGCATGCCAGCCTTCATGCCATCGCGCCTGAAGATGTTATCCGTCGGCGCCTCGGCCGTCGCCGCGCTTGGCACGACCTCATAGGACTAACGCGTGTAGGTGCTACTGTTGAACATATAACTCGCAATTTGCCCCACCTCAGGGGCAGCGTACCACGAGCCGTGGTTTCTGCCTGATTTCACATTGCTTTCAATGGGTGGACTTGCGCCCGGCGCTTCCAGCAACAAGCGCCGCGCCTGTGCTGCAAGGCAAAATCTGCATCCGGTTCGAATGAGCACTACTGGCGCTGCCCAGTCCTAATGGAGGCAGCCCGCCGGCACGCACACACAGATTTTTGCGAATGGATTCTCCGCGTTTTTCTCTTCGGGAGGGCCTGGAGGGATTCGTACAAATATGTAGCTATACATGTGTACCGTTGTTTCACAAGCACAGCCCACCTTCGGCACCAGAGTGGCGCAGTGGACCATTACTGGTTGTACAGATCCCAGTTCCGAGGCATCATGGAATGTATGTAAAGCACCACGCGCCTTCGGTGTAGAGGCTGCAGGGTAATCCGCAGCATCCGCCGCAAGTAGATTCGCTTATCCTTTTCCCCTCCTCCTTCCATCCTGCTTTCCTTCCTCCTCTTCCTCTCCCCGGCTATCCCATAATATTGTGTCGGATTTATTGCAGTGGCCGTTTGGGCCATGCGGTAGGGTTTGTGACACAACGTGTGCAAGTCTAGCCCGATGCGTCTTGAGGGCAATTCGTATCAGTCGCGTCTCCTAAGCACTGGCGAAAAGCAGGTTTTAAGTAACTTTTCTGTGCGTGTTTCTGGGGGGCGAACCTACTCACGCGCCCACGCCCAAGGAACAAAACAACAACAACACAACAAACAAACATACTATTCGCCAGAGGGTCCGACACGAAGTCCACGACAATGCCGCAGCATTGCCCCATCCTGCGAATGTTCAGGTTGTCCCGTTTTTTGTTCAGACTTCGAACACATATTTCCAGAATTGCAAAACACCAAGTAAAGCCGATATTATATCCCCTTGCTTCACACCGCGTAATATACCAACTGTCCTTAAATCTGTTCCCGCAGCGACGACTGCCTTTCGGTCTCGAAACAGCTTTCTGCACAGAGTGATGTAATTGAACCCAATTCCCAAGTCAGCCAATATCTTCGAAAGTGTTGCATGGTCGACTGTGTCAAACTCTTTTTCAAAGTCTACTAACGCAACCCACAACATTTGATTCCATTCAGCACAACCCTCTGTGAGTAAGGTCATGTCTTGAACAAGTTCTCGTAGAAACCAGCAAATATTTCAGCAATGTCGGTCTTGTCGAGCTGCTCCACCCCAGATTCGTTGCGCACGGATGCAGTGAGCTGCTTCTTTGTCTGGGCCACTTGTAGGTGAGCTTGCAGATATCCCGCGAAAGTATGTCAATGTCTTGCTTATGTGCGTTTCCCTTCTTATGATTCAGCCGCTCCAGGATGAGTTTCTTGATCATCTGTTGAGTTCGAGTCTTCGTTTTTTGTACAGTGGTAATGAATTGGTTCCGTCGTATGCTCCTTCGCTCAGCAATCAATGTCTGCAATTCCACATCTTTGTTTGTTGATCTGCATTGCGGAGTTTTCGTGGAAAGCGTCTTTCCCAAAGTTGCAAGCATGCATCGCTCCAAAAACAATATTTATTTGATATAGTACCTCCGTGCCCGGCATGTTCATCGATATGCGAATCGAGTAGTTGCGTGTACACGGCCTTGCTGACAGTAGGATTCCAATGTTTGTTATATTTTTATATACTGGCTTCGCCGTGCACCTCAGCGCCATTTTCAATTCGAGAGCTCTGTGGTTCGTCGCAACTGTTGATTTGTTGAGGGAGCGCGTCGCAATTGTTGGATGCGTCGCATTTGTTGATTCGTGCGGAGGGCAGAGGCAGGGATGGGAGGAGGAGGAGGAGGAGGACGGCGAGGAGGAGGAGGAGGAGGAGGAGGAAGGAGGAGGGCAGAGGGAGAAGGTGGAGGAATGACGAGGTGAGGATGAGGTGAGCATGAGCCGAGGATGAAGGAAGGGGAGGTCTTCGAAGGTTCTCGACTGGACCGCATGTTCCCTCTGAGAGACTTTCGGAGGCTTCTGGAGGAGCAGAAGGGAGAAGGGGACCAGGTTCCCGGGAGTCATCCGCCATACCGTCCGAAGAATTCAGGGCGCTCCAGGAGGCCTGTGGGGCGTCTCCTCCTCCCTGTCCCCCCCCCCGCCCCCGCCACGAAGGAACAGCGGCTCTCAAGAGCTCGGGCCCCAGAAGTGCCAGCCGTAACCGTCCCTGGGCCCGCGAAGGCTCCCCGCCCGGGCCCCGAGGATGATGGAGCAATGTCCAGGGCCCGCCGTCTCCTTGCGAGACCGATTTCCTTCCCATGATTCGCTCGCCATCTGCCTCCACATATTCTCTGCATTCTTCTTCTTTTTCCTTCTCCTCCTCGTCGGCCGTCGTCCTCCTGCTCCGCCTCCGCATCATTCTCCACTTCCTCGTCCTCCCCTCCCTGTGCTCCGCATCATCCCCATTCCCCTGCTCTTACGCAGCATTTTCACGATCGTGCGTCATTCCCTTAAACTATTCCCCTTCCATTCCTCATCCCCATCCTGTACCATCCTCAACTCTTTATCATGTTCTGCCCCCTAGCTCATCGGGCTATTTGCTTCTCCATCTCCGCCAGCCCCTCCCGATCTTGGCCCTCTCAAAACGGCAGCTGCCGCTGCCGCCGCCGGCTCTCCTGACTGTTTCTCTTCATTCGTTGGCTCATCTTTCAAGGCCTCACGCTCTCCCTCGTTCCTCCCTCCCTCCCTCGTTCCCTCCCTCCCCCCCCCTCCCTCGTTCTCCCCCCCCCTCCCCCCCTCCCTCGTTCCCTCCCTCCCCCTCCCTCGTTCCCTCCCTCTGCTGAATTCCTCGGCTCTGGCCTTCCATCCCCCATGCCACTCGTCGACCTCGTCCTCGTCCCCACCGTCCTGGCAGAGCCATTCGGATCCTCCGTCCTCCCCTCTTCCGATTCACGCTCCGGGAGAAGCCCGGGGGCAGCCGAGCCAGATGATCCAGCATGCGCTCCTCGGTCTCGCTCGACTCACGTGGTGCTGTTGTTGACAGGACTTGGTGTCTCCAGTTCTTTTGTTGTTCTTTTGCAGTCGATCGTCCTCAAGCTCGAGATGAAGGAGTTCGAGAAGGGAAAGGACATCCGTTATTGCGCTACCCAATCAATTGTCTGTTGTCTGCGGGGCTGACGCGACAACATGTCTTTGCGTCAGAATGTGGATGCCCCCCCTGAAATTTGACACTCGTCTGGTCGCACCACAGTTCTCTCATGAGTAAGGGGTTCGACCTTGATGGCCCCCTGGCACATTCACTACTGTTGCAGAGTAGCTCGTCTCTCTCGAATAGTGCGTTTGTGGATCTGCACAGATTTGGGCCTTGCCCTCACTCTCCTTCGCCAAGATTTGTTTTAGGCAGCCCGTGAATGCCCTCTTCCCTGTCGTCGCGTGAGAGACCTCGCGGGCCGCCATGCCTCAGCCTTCCGCACCAAGGTTAGACAGCGACGCAGTGGGATGAGGAAGTGCACCCCGCGAGAACTTACTATCTCCCGATGAGGCCGCGGAACCCTGAGGCACCCTGCGAAGCTCGGAGTCGACGAAGCACGTGCCCCTACATTCCCAAAGCAGCAGGGTGCCTGCTCGCATGTGCCTGCTGCAGTCACGTCCCGGGCGAGCAGAGCAGACGGGGCAGGAGGGGGCGTGCGCGCGCAGGAGACGTGGGACATGTCGGACGAGGAGAAGCTGAAGTTCTGCGACGAGCGCAAGGCCCTCGGGAATTCGCTCTTCAAGGCGGGCAGGCTGGACCTGGCCCTCGGGCGCTACAAGAAGGTCGCTCGCCCTCGAGGGAGGGGGGCAACGGCACACAACTCGGAGGGAGCGAGTGTGGCAGAGCCTGAGGCGACCGTGAGGGCGAGGAGGAACACGGCTCCCCCGGCTTTGGCCCGTCGGAGGAGCGACGCGGTCGCGGCCGCGCTCCCCGAGGTATCTTCGAAACCGGTCCGGCGTGCCAACGCAAGGGGCCGCAGGGCCATGAGCGCGAGGGGCCTCGACCTGCTCATCCGCGAGGGGGCATCCTCCTGCTCGGGGCGCTTCACGCCACGCCTCGCTCCACTCTTCGGGTCCCTACCGTACGTCGACGAAATGTTGCACCACTTTTGCCGCGCAGCCAGCCATATTGCATTGCTCCTCCCCCCCCCTCATCCGTGAGGGGGCATCCATCCTCGTGTCGTGCCTTTAAGGCGGACTGACGGAGCCAGCGGCGCCCACCCGTGCCCAACGTGGAGCCGAGGCGGCAACGTCGAGCCGGCGGGGGGGGGGGGGTTGGTGCGCCGGAGGGGGGCCACAGCTCGAGGGCGGCTTCTGGATGGGCGTTCTGCCGGCGGGAGCGCGGAAGAGATGCGCCGACGAAGAGGTACCAGCGTTTTCGGGTTCGGGGTGCGGTTGCGTCTCTGTCAGGTGTCGTTGCCGCGGACATGGTCGCCACAGCGTTTTGTGGGGAGGGGGGGGCTGCAAGGAGGTGCAACGGTTGGGGCAAGGTCCCACCACGGAGGGCGTTTCACCGTGAGCATCTCTCTTGGCCTCGCGATTTCTCTCGGAGGGCCAGTTGAGGCAGAAAGTGGATGCACATTCACGCTCCCCGGAAGGCTGGGAGAGGGACGGGGCGATGACTGCAGGCAGGGGCAAGGGGCCCGACACAGACCAGCCGCGGTGCAGCGTCCAGGCGGCTCGGCGTGGTTCTCTGTACTCGTCGCAGGCTTGACCGAGAATGGCGGGGAGTCAGGGAAGCAATCGTGGCTCTAATGTGCAGCAAGTATTGAGCAGCGTGAACCGCAAGCATTGGGCCATTGCAAGTTCGATTTACAAAACTTGGGGCGCAAATAATGTGGTGCAGCGCGTGTGATGAAATCCACGTGGCCCCATCCACATGGTGCAGGCTATTGGGCACAACGTAAGCGGAACAACGTATTTGTTGTAACATACGGGAAGTCATACATGGGTTGTGTGGTACAAGCGATGTGTTCCATGCTAAGTGGTACCAGCTACGTATGAGGCGGCATCTGTGCGGCGAGATCAATGTTGTACAATGTGTGTCTTGCAATGCGCAGGATACAAGTTATGTGGTGAGATACACGCGGTGCAAGCCATGTACATCCGGGAATGACAATCAGCGCAAGCGGCGACCATGAGGCGGCAATGGGTGCCAATTGGTTGAAAATACGGAAACGCCATCCAGCGCACGCGGCGGCCATAAGGCGGCAAATTGTATTTCTTTGCCGAAACCAGAAACGCCAACCAGCGCAACAGGCGGCCACGCCGCAGCCCCGCCGAGTACGTGGACTATTTGGATTCCAGCGGCCATGAGGCGGACATTGAGGAAGACCAGGCGGAAGCCTGGGAAGCCTAGCCAAATGGTTTAATCAAGTAAGAGCAAACTGTGTTTCGGGACCGACAAAGTGGGGAGGTGTGCAATGGGGAAGTTTAGTTGTGGTTGGCCCCGCTCGGGGTGAGGCAGCACCATGCTTACTGTCTTGGTACTATTCGAGCAGTGCCCTGATATTTGATGGATCGATCAGGACGTGTTGTGCGATCATACGGGGCTGTTGTCATTCAGGTAGTGGCGAGAGCTTGCCTGTTCTGCAGTATTTAGGCAAATATGTTGAGTATCAATTGCATGTTGGAGATCCGCTTCGCCGCCATGCAAGAACGCTAACCCAGCGCCTGTTCTGTTGCGCAGTCGCGCAGCCCCCTCTCGCTCTGGTGTAATGTTGCGAAGGGTGGATGACGGATGTGAATTGTGAGTCAGGTCGGTGATGTATTCTCATACGTCGACAATTTCCCTGAAGACGTCAAGGCAAAGGCACAGGAATTGAAGCAGGCTTGATCTTCCATTTGTGAATATTGGCAATGCACATGGTAGTGTTTGACTTTGCGTTTTCATTATTCTCCCAACGTTCAGTCAACGCCGTTCCAGTTACATGAAGGCCTGCTAGCATTGTGCAAATTAATCGAAAGCCTTGCTAGACACTCACGGCGGTCGTTCCCCTCCCTTGTCCGCCATCCTGGTGAGGCATGCGAGCTGAACAAGGCTATGTGTTATTTGAGAATTCATGGGCGCCTTGTCTGTTCCGCCGCCCCCCCTCTCGCAAGCCCCTCCCACCCGAAGGTTTGGCAAGACAGATGCGCGTGCTTCTCCTCCAGTCAAATGAGATTCCTCCTCGCTTGTCGAGGAGTGCTGGGGACAGCAAGTCCATTCATGTTGGAAGGGCCCTGCTGCCACGCCTGCCCTCGAAAGTGCACAGCAGCTGGAGGTCAACCCCCCCGAGCTCCCGACGTCGCGTTGTATAGCAACTGTTTCTTGCATTGGATCGTCGTTTTCGAGCAGAGCACTGCTGCTCCTCCTCCTCCTCCCTCCCGTGTCCTCCCCTTCCGCCTCGCTTCCTCGGGTCTTGCTAGCTGCTGTCGACTGCGAAACTGTCACCACTTTCGCGAGCTTGTGGGGCGCTCCGCGGATCGGGGGCCTCGCTTAGATCGAAACCTTTGAAGCTTCGCGTATCCCCACCGGATCGGCATGTGTTTCAGGCCACAGTTTTGGCAACATCGGCTCTAGCGGCGATCAGCTGCGACCCCCGAGGACCCACCTTCAGGGACGCACCTTTCTGCAGGCTCGCATCTGTTGCGTTTGTTGCGGCCCTGGTGGGCCTTCACTCGGTTACACAACCTTCAATAGAGACCACAGCGGCAGCTGGGACCCCCAATAAGAGTAAAAGAGATTCTAGCGGCGATCAGCTGCGACCCCCGAGGTGTTCAATGCAAGTTCTAGCGGCGATCAGCTGCGACCCCCAGGACGACCCAAGAGGAGTACCACGGCCCCTGGCCCACAGCGGCAGGGAGCCAGACCGAGGGGAGAGGCGTTGCGTCCCCTCGCCTCTCCCCTCCCAGGCCCAGTGGGTGCCCCCCGCCCTTGGCACCCGGGGCCCGCCTGACGCCTCAGTTGCGTCGGTGTGGTTGCCCCCCCTCCCTGGGCCTGCCGTTCCGCGCTGCTCGTGGTCCAGCTCATCACCCTCAGCGGCGGTTACTACGGCCTAGGAGGGATTCGTGGTGCGTGTTGGCGCAATGGCCTTGGGGAAGTGCCATGCGGCGGTCTGAAGTCAGCGCCTACTGCAGTGCAGCTCCCCCTGGCGCCTCGCTTCAGGCTACGCAGTCGGCACCACCACCTCTCGTGCAGCCCCCCCCTTTTCTCTTTTCACCGTCGGCGACGCTCACCACGCCAGCGGGCCCCCTCACACCCTGTGGCTGCACCGTGCAGGCGCGCGCGCGGTTGGATTACAGTCGCACGGCTCTCCCCCGACATTGTGATGCGGATCGCTGAGACTGGCCTGGGTGCTGAGTGGTACAGCCTTCAACGCCTGTACAGCCTTCGGCCCCTTTTCAGCTGTCGCGCGCTGTTTACTGTTCTCGACCGCTCAGCCTGCTGGCTTGCGCAGGACGACCGTTGAAGTCTGGCGCCACATCGGCGACTCACTTGGGGGCCTTTTCATTTTCACCGGGCACAGCGACCTGCCCACTGTGGTAAGGGTTACTGCGCTTTCGTGCGCTGGCCTCTCGAATTCTGGTCATTTTGTTCAGTGCGCGTGCCTGTGCTAGCAGTCTGTCCGCCAACTCTGGCTGGCAGCGCACTGTCTTGCAAATTCGCCTCGCCCGTGGCCCGGACGTCGCCTTTGCCTCCTGACACTCGTCTTGGGACCGCTGACCCAAAAAGTACCCCCACTGGTCAATCCACAAACGATGCGCAGGCGGGTGGCCCGGACCAGGAAGGAGTGGGAGCATACAGCGGAACACGGAGGAGGGGGGGGGACACCCCTCGAGCCGAAGCTCGGGATCAGCATTCGCAGGCCGGGGAGTGACCCATGAATGCCTGTGCGGTTTTTTCGAAGGAGGTGAAGGAGAGAGGAGGAAAAGGAGGAGAAGGGAGAGGAGGATGAGGGATAAGGAAAAGGAGGAGGAGGAGGAGGAGGAGGAGGAGGAGGAGGAGGAGGAGGAGGAGGAGGAGGGAAGGAGGGCGGACGGGAGGCACTGACGGCACACACTCCCGCGCATGTTCGCGCGAACCGAGGGGCCGAACTATATTTATCGGGGCCCTGCGGGGAGGGCCCAGGGCCCTCTTGGGGGGTATCCTGGGGCCTTATTGCGTGCCATGGGCACCCTCTCTGGGCCACATTTCGGGCCGGACGAAAGGGGGGGATCGGGAAAGGGGGTGTTACGAAATTTGCTGCATGCAGCTGGTCTCGGCCCCGCCGAGGGGCCCATTCCTCGATACATGCGCGCCTCGCGCGCTGGGAGGCGCTGGGAAAGTCAGCTACGCGAGCTCATTCTCAACTCCCCCCTTTGCTATCTCCCCGTTTCGCCCGGGCCGAACATTGGAGGACGTCGACCACTAGAAGGGGGATCCGTCTTCTGGAGGCTTTGCGCAACTCCACCAGCCCATTCGCCGTCAACAGGGACATTGAGGAGCATGCGGTAGATTAACGGGCTGAGTAAATCGTCGTGTCCCAAGATGGGGGAGGATGGAGGAGGAACGGGAGGAGCAGGAGGAGGAGGAGTAGGGAGGGGGGGGATGGGAACGATGGAGGCGAAAGGAGGAATGATGAGATAATGAGGAAAAGCAGGAGGAACAGTGCGAGCAGAAAGGCCATAAGCCTCTGGCGTTCCTCTCGGAGTCTCTTCGCATTTCTTCCGAGAGTTTCTTGGGGTCTTCTTAGGGTCTATTGGATTATCTTAGCAGTTCCAGGAGCGTGGTGTTGTCTGGGTGCTTTTGGGAAGCCTCTTGGGGCATCTCGGGGGTCTCGTGGGAGCCTCTTCGGGGCATCTTGGTGGCCACTTTGGAGCCTCCTGGGGCCTCCTGGACACCTCTTGTAGCCCTTTCTGGGGCCTTCTTAGGAACCTGGGTGGCCATCTTGGGGCCACCTTGGGGAAGATCGATCAAAGGAGGGCTTTCGTACATGAGAATCCCCCTCCCTGGAGGCCACAATGTGGCCAGCACGTTAGTCATGATTTTGGTTTCCTCGCCGAGGCCGTCTTGGACGCTCTAACGACCCGCGCCCCCCCCCCACCCGTCCAGGTCCAGTGGCAGGGGAGAGGGGGAGGGGATTACACCATCATCCCTGAAGCCCCAGATGCAGGAGCCTCCGAAGTATCTCGAGGGGCTTCAAGACGTCTGCAATTGCTACTGATGGCTTCCATCTCCGCAACTACATTTTTTTGTCGTCTGAAAGCCTGCAGGCGTTGCCTTCTGTTTTGTTCATTGCAAGCAGCAGGAGGTCAGGCACCAGCTGGCATCCAGCTTCTGCTAGCGCAGCTCTACCAGAAGCCCATGTCAGGAAGAAGGTCGGCAGGGTGTTTTGGTTCACAGCTACCCCATGTTGTATTCGAAGATAGCCGCCAAGCATCACAAGGAGTGGAAAGGGTTGCCTGGAGGACGGGGGAGTGTTCAACATGGCACCGGCGAGGAGCACTACGGATGGTATTTGAAGGCAGACTGTTCGCACGGCGCTAGCAGATGATACGGGGGAAAAAGGGTATGAATGCGACTTGCGGGCCTCAAGCAGTGCCACGAGCACGTGAAGCATTTGGGGTTATGACGCGAGTTCGGCCCCTGTTGGTTTCCGTTGCGTTTCCCCCTTCTGGTCCATTCAGCCGTACCGCTGGCCCAGGGTCGCCATCGTGCACGGAGCATGTTTATCCAGACCACGGCATAGTTGTTGGAAGCAGTGCCGCCACGTATGATAATACATGGGCATATGGCTCACATGGCCAAAAACAACCCCAGCGCGTATGGACAACGCCAGATTTATTGTTCATGCTGATGATGTGGAGATAGACGGGCATCACCCATCAACCGTTCAGTGTTTGAATTGCATTGCGAAGTTGGCAGGGTGCCTGTTCAAAAACGTTGCAACTTGTTCGAGCACCAATTTTTCGAGCTCTGACGAAGGGATTTTCTAGTTCGAACACCCAAGAGCTGACATATCCAGGCCTGGAGGTATTTGGTAGGTACGCCCAGCCGTTGACAGGTGAGGTTGCGCGCCTAGGTGTTGACCTCTCGGCTGCTCGCAAGGCCAGCTCGTTTCCGAACGAGAATCCCTGTTCGAAGGGAGCTCCCGAGGGCACCAATAACATCCCGATATTGGCCAAAAGGAAAGCTCGTTGAAGTAAAGTCCGACGGAGGGTGCCCACAATCAAAAGCCTTCGTGGCAAACGTGTGCAGCAGTTAATTTGTTTTTTCTTTGGCCAGAAGCGCAGCATGACGCATGTAAGATAGGCGGTTGTCCTGAGCCCCACGGGGCCCCTCGTGCCTCCATGGGCGGCGCGTGGGCCCTTCAGCTTGACAAGGACGCGCATGTTGGTGACACGGATGTACGATATGCAGGAAAATGGTGGAAGGCCGCGGGTCCCACGTCGCGAACCAATGGCGGTCTCAGCGTTGGCTCCCTCGCCGATGTTGCCCACCTGTGTTTGACAGTTTTTGCCGAGCCGCCGCCGTCTTTGGGTCGGAGGCGCAGGGGCGCCCGCCTTATTTTGGACGCGCCCTTGTGTGATGCAGAGGCGGGCTGGCACGTCAAAAATCAGGCCTTCTACGTGTCCGCGGAGCGAGCTCCCGTCAATTTAACGGACTCGCCGCCGGTTTTGACCCAGACGATTTGCAGATTGGATTTGCAAGAGAAATACTTCCAGGACTCGGCCTCCCAGAAGCTGCAGGGCACCAGCCACTAAGGGCCAGAGACATTCTGGACCGAGGCCTGCAGGCCCAAACCTGTTGTTTTCAAAATTGTCGAAGTACATGACGCCGGAGCAAAGGAGGAGGCTCCGGAACAAAAACATTATGTCGGGTTCATTCCGCTGTTGTCTGCGCGCGTCTCTCAAGTTATGGGGTTTCTCCTTTTGCAGGTTTTGCTACGATCCCGCGGGATTTGGAGTTACCCCCGCGGCGAGGAGCTGCGCGGAGAGATCGACAGCCACTTGGTCGAGGAGGCACTCGGGGCAGGAGAGGGCGATCCGCTGTATAATTCACTGTGGGCAATCGAGGATTTCGCGCAATACTTCGACCACTTGGACCAGTTTGAGCACGGGGCCCGCGCGCGCATTGACAGCTTGGCCCTGGACCCCGAAGCCCGAGGTTGGTTTTGGAGCCAGGGTCGGGCGTCCGCGGAGATCACCCTTGAATGGGGATGTCGCGGGTTGCGTGATGGGGTCCATTGCGCGCGACCTCCTACGGACCGCAGTGCTAGCTGAATCTCGCGGGCTCGTGCGCACTGTCGAGCATTCGGACATCCCTGAGTTCAGTCCCGAGGAGGTGGTTGGGGATTGATTTGTTGATGTCGCCCGCCTCCGAGGGACGGGCGACCAGGCGACCCAGTCGGGCCACTCGCGGAGGGGGTCAAGGCCGAGCCCAGGGACGTCTGGAATATCCACAGTGCGGAAGCCCATCTGAGTTAGGGCGATTCTCTAGGTCAGGCCACGTGGAAGACCAGGGGGAATATATAGGCGGATGCCTATGCCAAGGTGGCTGCCGATAGGTACAGGTCTCATGTTGATGCTGAGGCCATTCTCGCCACCATGCGCTTGTGGAAGTTGCGGATGCTGCTTTTACTGTCTTGGAGGTTTGGCCCCTTGCGCGAGAGCTGTCAGGGGGTCTAGGGGGAGCCTCGGGGGATCCTCGCTCTCCCCCCCAGACCAGGCTCTCCCATAATCTCCATTGGCTGGCTCCCCGTGGCAACGCAGGCATTGTGTTCGTACGTTTGCGAATCTCAAAAATGTGGAGAGGTCTGAATGCGGGCCATTCGCGCCCACGCTTCGCAGTTTATCGTGCCCCGCCTGAGGCTGTCGCCCCCCCATCGTCAGCTCAGGGTTGCTCGCGATTTGGCGACAGGGCAAGGAGTTTTATGTTTCGACAGGCGCGTCAGCTACACAGCTGGCAGGCCAGGCGTTCCGACCCGCGGCTGCAGTGGCATTGTTCGCAAATCGAAGCAATTAGACGTGATTCGGAAGGGTCGTCCCTGGCCCCGCGGGGCCCTCGGCAAGATTCCCTTTTTGGGACCCCTGGGGCTGGCGCGGCAGAGAAGCGGGGGAACATGTTCACAGGCAGACTGACTTATTTTGAGCCGTACCATGTCTTCCTTGCCAGGTTGATGGGTTTTTCCCGAGGCCCACCTTGCTTTCACCCTCCAGCTGCTCTGCGACTGCCGCGAGGGGGATGTCGTAGGCAAAAACACTTCCCGGCCCGCAAGCCGTCTCGCTCATTCCCGCCCGCCGTCCCAACACATAAATAGCAGCCGAGCCGCAGCGAGTTCAATGGTAGTCTTAGGATGGACAGGTGATGGGAGCTAAAACAGTTCCCATGTACGCAACGCGGGGGCGACGTGCGCAACGCGGGCCAGGTCAGCCAGGCACCCCTGTGGCAGAAACGTGCTGGGACGCCTGGTGCGCCAGATGCGCCGCTTGATCCACGGGCGCCGTGTGTGCCGCATGCTCCGGCCGCGCCATGTGCGCAACGTTCGGCCTCGAAGTGCACGTTGTAGTGTTTGTCATAATGCTGGCCCTGCGCGCGGCAGGACATGTGCGGGCATCCCCACCGTTCCTCGTAAGGAAAAATGCGATGTGCTCGCGCACCCCCCAACGTGACGATCTGACCCCAAAGTGGATATCACATTGTTTTTGACAAACATGAGGGGGGGGGGCGTGGGGGTCTCATTGGTCCTTGTTGATTGCCAGTGACCTGGGGGGGGGATTGTGTAAAAGGGAACAGTAATGAACCCCTTCCCGCGATGGGGAAAATGGGGGTTGGATGAGGAAATTCGCAAAACCACTCAAATCCTGACGGGCTGGTGTGATTAAGGCTGCCCTTCGAGCTGGTTGGTTTCCTTGAAGTGTTCGAAGAACTTAGGCCTCTTGGGGGCATCCTTGGGAGGCTCAGTGGCCACTCGGGGCAGTTTCCGGGTAGTTTTGTAACCATGTGGAAGGAGGATATGGGAGGCCATTTGGAGCAACCGTCGGATACATGGTAACAGCTTGGAGGCCATATTTCGGGGGTGGACAGAGCCCCCACCCTGACACGTGTCCGTTTTCGGCTTTCGACAGAGCACCGTGGCCGTTATTTTACAGCTTGCGCCCGCCAGGTTTGGGCCCGATGCCGTTTGCATTAAACCACGTTCTGCTACAGGGTGTTCTGTCCATCCCCGAATATTGGGCTGTCTCCAGTCATCTTTGAGCCATCTCGTGCGCTATTACCGCTCGATGCCCCCCTCCGTCAGACCCAGAGGGGACGAAGGAGGGTGGAAGATCAGAGCCCCGAGTCATCAGGGGTATCTCGGGTCAGGGCTAACTCGGGTTCGTTTTTCGGGATTCCGAACCAGATTTACCCCGGACCCGAGTTACCCAGGATAATTCGGGCGTCCGGAGCCCCGAATCATCAGGGGTAACTCGGGTCAGGGCTAACTCGGGTTGGTTTTGTCGGGATTCCGAACCCGAGCTACCCCGGACCCGAGTTACCCCGGATAACTGGGCGCCCAAGAAGAGGAAACGTTGTTGACCACCTCGGCCCGAAAGTGCTTCTGGGAGCAGACAGCGCTGCCAACCGCGCAGCTGCCAAGGCCCTCGCACGACCGTGGGAACTTCGCGGCGCGGCGTCTCGAGCCGACTCACCGAGTGGCCTTGCCGGACGCCTTGGACGGATTGATTGACTACGTTTGTGTCGGGGGCGGACAGAACCCCCAACAGTGACACGTCGATTAGTGAATTCTAGACGCTTCGCGTATCCCCACCAGCCCGTCCAGAAACGACGCCCAGGCGAGTAGAGGGTCGTCCTGAGGGGCTTTTCGGCGTCTTGGGTGCCTCGGGTGGGCCTCTGTGGGCCGTTCGGGATCCTCTTTGGGGCCTCCTGGGGGCCTCTTGGGGCCTCTTGGGGCCTCTTGGGGCCATCTTGGGGCCTTTGGGGGCCTCCTGGGCGCTTCTTGGGGCCATCTTTGCCCCCTCAGGAGGCCTTGGGTGCCTCTGGGGGGTCTCTTGGGGCCTCTTGGGGGTCTCTTGGGGGCCTCCTGGGGGCCTCCTGGGGGCCTCTTTGGGGGGCCTCTTGGGGCCATCTTGGGGCCATCCTGCGGCCTCTTGGGGCATCCTGGGGGCCTCTTGCGGCCATCGTGGAGGAAATCGATCAAAGAAGAGGGGAGCTCTAATTAGCGCTGCCCCCTCAGAAGGCCAAAATGGGGCCAAAACCATAGTAAAATCAATGATTTTGGCTTCCTCGCCGAGGCCGTTTTGGACGCTCTGACCGCTCCCCGCCCCTCCTGTCCAGGTCTGTGGGGAGGGGGTAGGGGGAGGGGTAAACCCCTCCCCGAAGGGGAAGAGGGAGGGGTGGAAGAGGAAACGCCCTAAACCACCGACGCCCAGAGGGCTGGTGGGATTGTCCGTTTTCGGTGCTCGAGAAGGCGCCACGGTCGTCATGCTCCAGGCTTGCGCCCGCCAGGTTTGGGCCTCAGGTCGTTTTCACTAAACCACGTTTTGCTAAAGGGGGGTCTGTCCATCCCCGTGTGTGGGTGGTTTTACAGTTCGGCGTGTTTTTCGATTTTCGGCCCCTCGCCAGAAGTCGGCCGGTCAGTCGCCGCAGCTCAGCCGCTTGTGGACCCGCGGCCCAGCCGCCCGTGGCTCCCTCTCGCCCCTTGCAGCCGCACAGTGAAGTTCTCCCGCTCCTGGCCGCCGAGAGCGCGCGTGCGGATCGCCTTTGCCGCGCTACGGCGCAAAACGGTTTCTCAAGTCTCGGCCCCTCTGTGGGACAAAAACGCACACACACAGTGGGAAAACACACACACACACACACACACTGTGGGAAACAAAAAACAAACACACTGTGTGTGTGTGTTTGTGTTTTTCCCCACACACACACGTGTGTGTGTGTGTGTGTGTGTGTGTGTGTGTGTGTGTGTGTTTTCCCACAGACTGTGTGTTTTTCCCACAGAGTGGGCCGCGCTGGGGTCCCAGGACCATCCCAGCAGAGACCGCCCCAGTCCGGGGGTGGCCAAACGGCGAGGTGGCCACGCCGCGTGGTGCGCCCGTGGGGGTTCGAGGGGGGCCCGAACCAGCGCTGGGGCCGAGACCTTCAGCCACTCGCAGACACAATTAACCTTCGATTCCCCAGAAAACATGGGAAAATATGGGGAGTGGGGGGGGAAGACAAAAAACCAGGAAAATATATGAAAATATGGGGAATCATTTTATTTGTGTGTACTCATTTGTGTGTCCTGGGGCCCCTTCATAAGAGGATGAGTGGTGAGGACGGTTCTTGCCACGCGCAGAGGGGGGTGGGGGGAGGGGGGAGGACTTCTTAGAAGCACCCCTGTTTCTTAGAAGGCGCGGGCCTTATCTATAGAGGTAAGGCCGGCGCCTTCTAAGAAGCAGCCTGCTTCTAAGAAGCCCTCCCCCGCCCCCCACCCCCTTGTGCGCGCCGCCAAGACCTACGGAGCCCACCTGGTTGGAAAACAGCACGGCTTCGGAGGTCTGCTTGGCCCCTGGGATTTAGGAATTGTGGGTCTCGTGGCCGCGAGACTG